CGATTAATCTAACCGAGTAGACCCATAGCAATGGGCGGCGTATCAAGCACTCTACAACCAACCAATAACGAGTGCCTATTGCCATGGAAAATTTGCATAACTATTTCCAGCCGAATACCACTAACAATCCATTAAACAATCGCAACAATGACGAACAGAGCAGTGCCGTCGACAAACCAACCGCTCACCGTCTAAACCTAACCTATTAATATTTATTTATTATACTTTAACTCGGAGTTCAGGTCCAAGTGTCGGCAATCAGCTGGCAGATGGCTCAGTGGTGATTCACACGCAACCCGTGGGAGGAGAGATCAATAATCATCTGTTGGGCTATATGGGTGAGAATCCGAATGCATATCAGGTTCGTTTGTCATATATTATTTTTTAAACTATTACATATTATACTATGTTATTATCGTTGTTGTTATGATTGTGCTGATGGTGTATTTTGTATATTTATGATAATTGTTGCGGCTTGCGTGAAATGTCAACATAAAAATAACTGAAAATGATTGTGTGAACTGCTGAAAGAAGATAATAAGTAAATAGAAACGTAATGACTGTGAAACGGGCCGACAGCGCTGTGTTAGTGATGGGATCCGACCGACAGTCCGCCGGAGTTCCGACAGTCTGATTACGATCGTCGGAATGACAAAATGGCCAACTCGGTCGGATTCCGACTGAAACGGAACCGACCGCTCACCGCGACGACACACCCAACAATGACGTTGACTCGCACCATCCAAACGCTTACATTAGAAATCGGCTGAGATGAGGTTTTGGCGGGAATTTTAGGAGCGCGAAATCGTTCTTCGTAACGCAGAATAAACACTTGAAATCGCAAAAATTTTCGACCTCTCAAATTTTCGCTCGGATCCCATCACTATGTGGTGGTGTAACACTGAACATCCGATGCATTCAGAAGGCGTGAGTTCGATTTGCAGAACGTCTCAGTGGAAAATCTTATTGACAAATTTCGTTCGATATAGCTGTTGAAAAAATTAAAGAAAGACCAACAAATAATTGAAAAAATGAGGATGGCTCAGCTTCGAGAATAGTTATTGTTGTGCTGATGTGAGGTGAATGATGCAGGAATCGTCGCGCATAATCTCGCACGTTCGTCACCTGTCGACGGTGAGTCAGTGGCTGGGGGNGTGCGTGGCGCTTTTGCTTTGTCTCATCTCGATGCTGGCCATATCGATCGCGATTCTCAAGCAGATCAAGGCGAGAAGATATCACAATCTGCGTGTGAGTTTTTGTACTTGTTTCTATGGAATTTGTTTCCTTTGCAATTTGGAATTCACCGATTTTTCGCAGTCACTCGTGTGTGTAAACACAATCACATTATGACGATTTCGTGCTCGCTGCTGCTGCCGCTGCGGGTGACGTCATTGTCGGCGTTCCCACGCCCACGCGACGTTCCCACGCCCACGCCTTCGATGGGGAATCCCCAATTGCTAGCTGTCGTCAGCAGCATGTGTACGCACCGTTGATGATATCCGTGGTGTTATGAAATATCAAATTTCGTCGTACACTAACTCTTCTGAAATATCAACGATACTGTTATTGTTGGAATTTTACATGAGAAAAAGATATCTAGAGATAAAAATAAAGAAGATAAAAAGAAGTAAGATAAATAGTAAATAGTTAAGATAAAGAAGATAAAAAATAAATAGAAAGAAAAAAGAAAGATAAATAGTTAAAAAGATGAAAAAAAAGATAAATAGAAAAAGATACATAGTAAAAAGATAGACAGTAAGATAAAAAGATAAAGAAGATAAAAAAGATAAAAATAGAAAAAAGACAGAAAGATAAAAATAGTTTTGAAAAAAGATTAAAAAAGATAAATAGTTTTGCAAAATTTCTGTGACGCGGAAATGAGTGAAGTGCGTGTTCGGAGGTGAAACGCTGAGAAATTGTTCACTTTCAGACCATCGTTCCAGCGCAAGTGATTGTGCCTGGACAGCTTGGCGAGCCAATTCCAGCGAAGAAGATCCCACTT